GGGAGGGCAGCCTCAAGAACTGCACAAGCCCCATTGCGACGCAAGGACCTCAAGTCCACGTCAGCTCTTCTGGCTGACAGGGAGAGTTCCCTGCTGGGTCCCACCTTGAGGGAGGGTCATGGGCTCCCCACTTGCCTCAGTGCCCACGTCACCCCGACGGTCAGCAGCAGACAGGGGCTCTGAAAGGTCCCTGTGCACTTCCCTGCCTGCCTCAGCTCTCAGCACAGACGCGGTCTGCCCCCAGCCAGGCTTCCGAGCCTCCTCGCTGGCATCTCAGGCCCTGCCCTCCAGGAGTGCCACAGCCTGACCACTGCCCCCTGCTGCCCCCTGCTGGAGGGGCCCATCTCCATCTGGACATTGCAAGCCACCCTTGGCTTGGAGCTGAGCCTGGGCAATGACTGTCTCCAGGCCCAGCTCCCAGGGCCAGCCCCAGACTGCAGACTTGGGGGAGGAAGGTTGGGCCACACAGCTGGGCCCTGCTCCCTGATGGCAGCCAGGGGCCATGAGAGCCAGCTGCAGTTGACTGCCCTCTGCTCACACCAGTCCTCACTCCCTCCTTTCCCAGAAGCATTGAGAGCTGTGTGACCATTGGAGCGGCCTCTCCAGGCAAGGGCAATGCCAGGGGCTGCAAGTCCATGTGAAGGCAGGGCCAGCTGTGGGCAGGCCTAGGTGAGGGCCGGCCAGCTGCGGGCAGGCCATGTTAGCACAGAGCCTGTGGGGCTCCCTACCTCACACCATTGTGATCTCATCCTGGGAGACCCCCGCCCATCAGGGACCAGCAATCTCTCTCTTTGGCCGTATGCCAAGCTGCCCAGGTGAGCTCAGCAGAGAGCAGGTTAAAGCCTCAGGCACAAAACACACCTGTCCAGTCCCAGCTGGGTCTGAGGAGACGTGGAGGAGGCACTGACTAGGATCTAGGGAGAGGAAGGCAGGATGGGGAGGAGGCTCCCGAGGGCTCAGTGAGGGACGGTCCTCCACGGAGACTCAGGCTCCTGAGCAGGCCCGAGCAGGCCGGGCCCCCTTGGGCTGAGTGCAGAGCCGTACCGCGTATTTGCCCGGGTTCTGGGCCTTCCTCTTGTCCACCTCCAGCATCACGGCCCACACCTTCCCGCGCACCTGGGCAGGGATGCCTTTGTAGATTCTGCGCTGAAACTACAGGAGAGAGGAGGCTCTGGTGAGTGGTGAACGTGGCCACTCGTGGAGGCAGCGCAGGGTGAGACAGCAGAGGGAGACGCCAGGGGCTCCCTGTGTATTGGCAGAGGGAGGATCTGCCCAGAGGGGGGCCTTATGACCCACAGTGACTGGAGGGCCAAGGGCTCAGGGGCACCGGCTCTGCCGTGTACGGACTGCCCCCTACAGGGCTCCTGGAACCACGCCTGCCCTGCATCCGGGATTGTCTTCAGCAGTGACTTCAGATTTTCTACCAGGACAGTGTCCTGTGTGTATGGGGAAGGTGTGCCCATGACCTGTGTCTCTAGGGACTGGACAGTTGCCCCTGGGCATCTGAGAGGCAGGCGGTGCCTGGCACAGGAATGGGCACTGCTCAAACCCCAATTCAGCTCTCAGTGTTCCCGAGGGGCCCTCATCGCCACGGTACCTTGTCGCTGCCGCGGTATTTACTATGGTTCTTGATCATCTTTATCCACTTCTGGATCCTTCCCACCTCCTGTTTACGCTGGAAAACGAGACAGGATGGCGTGAGCCCAGCTTGGGGCTCTGAGAGGGGCCCTCGGATGCAGCTCAGGAGCTCTGTGGGTGCTCAAATAGAAGGAGCCAGAAAAGGCACAGACCGTGAGCCCCAGATCTTCTGTCTGGGGGAGCATCGGTGGCCTGGCCTCTGACCCGAGCTGCCCCGTCTTCAAGGAAGAGCCCCTGAGCTCCAGCCAGGTACTCCCAACCATGCCAATGAGTCAGGGCGGCCGACAGCAGACGCCCCTGAGCTGCGGCTCACTTCTGGGACAGGTGAGTGTGGTAAGATGTCAGCAGGTGCCGTGTAAGTACCGCATCGCGGGACCTTATGGCGCTCCCACTCACCACTGCCGAGCCCCACGTGCCCCTCCGCCCAGCTCTGCTTCCAGATGACTGGCCCATGGCCAAGGACTTGTCCTTACCTTTGCCCCCGGGGTGCTGTCTTGGGGCAACTTCTGCTCACTGGAAAGCAAGGGAGGCGGAGAGGTGAGGACAGGACCACAACAGGCACCACGACCTCCCTAGTGGGGCAGGGAAGGACCAGCTTCATCCTCTCAGCCCAGGGGACTGAGATGGGGAGGGAGGGGCTGGTGACCATGAGCACAGGGAGCCCAGGGCCAGGCAGGGGCCCTTGCTGCCAGTGGGGGGCTCCAGGCCTGTCAGAGGTCCACCTTCGTGGGTGTGTGGCAGCCCCCCACAGCGGTTGTGGGGTGGCTGTCCTGAGCAGGGCCAGGCTGCCCAGGGCTGAGGCAGCTATATCCCCACATCAGCTCTGCCCAGGACGTCACCCTGGAACTGACCGAGTCTGGGTGGCCTTCCTGAGAGATGCTCAGTGCTGTGAGTGTGCACCTGGGGCTCGAGGTACCTGGGACCCCCACACCCCTCAGGGTCCCCCACTGCCCACCCTCCCCCCGTGCCCTGGCCTCCTGAGGTCATGCGCCCCACCTCACCCCCTCCTCTGTCAGCCCAGACCCTGACCATCTCTCCACCACTCTGCTCCTACTTATTCTCCAGGTTCTGGCACAACATGGAGGCAGAAGCCCTCATCCCCGTGCTAAGGTGGGCTGCTGAGTCATGCCAGAGATGGCCCGAGATGGCTCCATCCCTCCAGGTCACCGGAGCCCACCCTCCAGCAACGGGGCCTCTCTCCCCGACATCTGTGGGAACAGCCTCCACGTCCGACTCCTGCCCCCAAATGCTGACCAGTGCCTGCCTGTGACCACAGCTGAGCTCAAGGTCGGGACCCGGGGACAGGTGTGCCGCCTCATGTTGGGGTTTCTGACCCCAGTCCCGCCCTGGGGTGAGCTGGGGTGCGGAGGACTCACTGCAGGAACCCAAGCCTGTCTGGGACGAGGCAGCCGCCCTCATCGTCCTCTTCTTCGGGCACCAACAGTGCCGCTCCTCGGCATCCCTGCAGCCGAGAGGGACCCGGATGAGAAGTCACTGGGGGAGCTGTCCGCCTGCCCCCTCCCCCGTGTCCCCAGGGAGGCGGGGTCTGGCTCTCACAGGCACAGTCCTTGAGGCAGGGCCCCACCTCCTCCCCCAGCACCCTGGCCGGTACCTGCTCATATTTATTGATGAGCTCTGCTCGCTCCTGGGCCCTCCGGGACCTCAGGGCATTCATATCCAATCTGTAAGACACACACGCACATGGGAGCCAGCACCGGGGAGCCCACAGGAATGCTGCCCTGAGGGCTGTCCCCCTGGTCAGAGGGGGGACAGCCACACAGCCAGGCAGGCGGGCACCTGGTGTCTGGGTCCCTGGAGGATGACTTGTGCAGAGCTCAGGGACTAGGGACGGTTGGGGAAGGACAGCCCCCACCTTGCCTCCCCTGCCCTCGGAAAGGGCGCTCCTCCCCCAGGCTGGCATCCATGTGTCCTCCAGGGAGCCCAAGTCTACGGGGCTCCCTGGCCTGCTCCCAGCTCCCGCATCTCTGGGGCTCTCAGAGCCGGCCTCCCTGCCCACCTGATACCAGCTGACCCGACACCTAGTCTTGAACCCGTGTCCAGACAGGGACTCACACCCAGGCCCATTCAACACTGGTGACCAGCAGAGCGGGAAGAATGAGAAAACTGTATACACACTCTGCACACAGGGGCAGCACTCAGAGCTCCACCACATCACTCATGGAATCCAGTGTGGGAGACCAGAGCCACCCCCTGGCAGGACCTTCCCCACACCACAGCTCATGCAGAGAGCAAGTGCCACTCACCTCCATCGCGAATCCATGTGATTCTCTGAAATGCGCCTGCTGCCTACACTACCAACTGGTCAGTTGGGCAGTAGACGCACTACTGGCCTCTGGTCGCCTCCCAGCCCAGAGTGCGCATCTCAGTGACTGTGACATCACAGAAGCCTGCCAGCCAATCCCTAGTGGCTCTGCTGTGGCAGGGCTCAGGGTCCTCAGGCCTGGCTTCATTAAAGGTCACCAGAAGTGGGGCCTGTGTTCTCCCCAGGGCCCAGGTGAAGAGGTCTTTACTGGTGCTCCCACCACCCCTGTCTCCCATACCACAGATGGCCCAAGTGCTTGGGCCCCAGCACTCACATTAGAGACCCATATGGAGTTCTAGGCTCCTGGCTTCAGCCAGACCCAGCCTTGGCCACTGGGGCATTTGGGGAGTGAATCAGTAGATGGAAGATTCTCTCTCTCTCTCTCTCTCTCTGTTTCTCTAACTCTGCCTTTCAAATAAATAAGTATTTAAAAAACAAATAGAATTAGACCACTCATCAATCCATCAGAGGACAAGGGCCCACTTGCTGGCTGCAGTCCAGGGTTGGTTTCCCCCAATATGCTGCAGGATCACAGTTACTGGAACTCTCGCCTGTGGTGAATGAGACGAGCTACATATGTATGGGGGTAATGCCGGTGTCAACAAAGGCTCTTGAACTTGAAAAATACATGAGAAATGGCAACTTTAAGGACTGTATAATTGGTTAGTTTTCTGTAACCTCCATAGAATACCTAAAGAAAACAAATGGTCAGACTTTAAAATAAATCAACTCTGAGAATGTTAGCAAAGCCAGAAAGCTCCCTTGTTTAAGGTATTCTCACCCTGCAGCAAGAGAGCAGGCTTCGCTGAAAACTACTGACGAGGTGCAGTTATAATGCAGTAGAGCTTCTGCACTCCTATTCTGCATTCAATTCACGGCCCTGGCAGGTCTGTCACACTGAAGTCAGCGCCTGATACGGAACGAGTTGCACCTTGAGATCTGGGATGTATTTCAGTGGATGCATTTGAAAATACTTGAGGGGCTGGCGCTGTGACGTAGCGGGTAAAGCTGCCAACCTGCAGTGCCGGCATCCCATATGGCCGCTGGTTCGAGTCCTGGCTGCTCCACTTCTGATCCAGCTCTCTGCTATGGCCTGGGAAAGCAGTAGAAGATGGCCCAAGTCCTTGGGCCCCTGCACACATGTGGGAGACCTGGAAGAAGATCCTGGCTCCTGCCTTCAGATCAGCACAGCTCCGGCCATTGTGGCCAACTGGGAAGTGAACCAGTGGATGGAAGACCTCTCTCTCTCTCTCTCTCCCTCTCCTTCTCTATGTAACTCTGACTTTCAAATAAATAAATAATTCTAAAAAAAGAAAAGAAAATATTTGCACTCGATGCTACTGGGCTAATAGATGTGGTCGCCACCTCCTTTTGGGAGGACAGGGGCCTCCCTTTATCTGGAGACCATCTAGAAGCCTCACCTAAGACAGAGGCTTCCCAAGATACTGAGGGTTCTTTCTGAGGACAGCTCATGCCTGCCTTATGAAGCAGAGTGGGAGAGTGTGGAAAACGGGAAGAATGTGTAGGTGAAAGAGGAGAGGAGGGAGGGAGAGAGAGGGAGAGAGAGAGAGAAGTGGGAGGGAGGCAGGAAGGGCAGGAGGGGGCGGGGAAGAGAGGGGAATGCTAGCTGCCAAGCACTGAGCAGTATAATTGGCACCACCACTGCCGGACATCCGGGTACAACAACATGGGGACCCGGCTGCTTACCGTGGCCTGATCAGGCTGAGCATCTTCATTTCCCCTTCGAATTTCCCCGTCACTCTCTGCAAAGTGCTGTAAAGGAGCACGGCCCAGGTGACCCAATCTTGCTGATGCCTTCATCTCTATTAGTTTGTGCAGAGATGTTTTCCTCGACAGGAAAAGGACCGAAGCTGCCTCTCCCTGCGTCACTTTATGTCACGGTGTCATTTATTCTCCAATTCAGTGAGGACAGATCCGTGCAGGAACCATCACCGGTGCCAAACTGAAGATACAGCCAACGCAGGAGGGACCTGAGGTGCACCAGGAAGTCAGCTGGGAGATCATGAGTCATGTTTACACGTTCCCCAGATGTCCTGGGTGCTGGCATTACGCAGGTCTGTGAAGTTCCGCGGGTGAGAGTAACAGCACAGAGGACATTCCCGTTCCCCTCAGCACCTGTGAGTTTACCTTCAGCTTCAGATGAGCACAGTATCTTATACACAACAGGCTCCTCCCTCCAGTGGCTGGATCTCTGAAAAAAGACTAAAATCCATTCAAATGCAATAATAAAAAAAAAATGTAGTGTCATCATTCAAACAGAAAAGGACACATATTAAAAATACAAGGCGGGGCCGGCACTGTGGTGCAGTGGGCTAAGCCGCAGCCTGCAGGGCCAGCATCCCATATGGGTGCCAGTTCTAGACCTAGCTGCTCCACTTCTGATCCAGCTCCCTACTGATGTGCCTGGGAAAACTCCAGAAGATGGCCCAAGTCCTTGGGCCCCGCACCCATGCAGGAGACGTGGAAGAAGATCCTGGCTCCTGGCTTCGGATCAGTTTAGCTCCAGTTGTTGTGGCCATTTGAGGAGTGAACCAGCGGATGGAAGATCTCTCTCTCTCTCTCTCTCTCTCTCTCTGCCTCTCTGTAACTCTTTCAAATAAGTAAATATTTTTTTTTAAATATTCCTTCTTGCATGAAGAAGTCTATATTAAATCCTTCAACTGATTGGATATGGCCCACCCCAAATCATAAAGGTTAATGTGCTTTACTCAAAGACCACTGATTTCAACGTTAATCTTATCCAAAAAATGCCTTTGCAGAAGCAGCCAGAATATTTTCTGGCCAATTACAAAATCAACATGAAGGGAGTAGGCAGCAAGCCCTCTCCCTGTAGTTTCCAGGTTAACGGAGTTCAGAGGGAGAGGAGCAGTCTGCACGTGCACAGCCGCTGTACCTGGGAAAGCCTGCAGAACACAGTGGATGGACACGCGTGCAGAGCTGGGAATCAATTCCAAGGCCAAAGCCTGCTGCTACCATCAAGCAGAATCCTATTCCGTCCTCAAATGTTATTGAGCTGACAACAGGAGACAGTGTGATGTGGGCTTAATAAAAGCTGGGTTGGAAGGCAAAGTGAATCTTACATTTGCCTGAATTCAGCTTTACTGCTACATAAACAAAAAGAACTACTCCGTAAAAGCTCCAGGCAGTTCAGAGAAATGTTACTGGAAAAGTAATCAAGAAGAGTAACAAAACTGTAATGCATGGTAGGACAGAAAGATACATGTCTTTTAAATTTAGGTAATAGTTGTTTAATTAGCCTGATTGTATTTATTTTCTTTTTCAAGGAAATTATTTTTAATATTTTTCATTTATTCATTTGAGAGGTAGAGTTACAAAGGGGGGGGGGAGAGACAGAGAGAGAGCTTCCATCTGCTGGTTCACTCCCCAGATGGCTGCAATGGCTGGAGCTGAACTGATCCAAAGCCAGGAGCCAGGAGCTTCTTCCAGGTCTCCCACACGGGTGCAGGAGCCCAAGGACTTGGTCCATCTTCTACTGCTTTCCCAGACCATAGCAGGAAGCGGTATAGGAAGTGGAGCAGCCAGGATTCAAACAGGTGTCCATATGAGATGCCAGCGCCAGCCCCTCAAGAAAAATCTTAAGACCACACAACAATATAGCTTATAATTTTATTTTATTTTTTAAAGATTTATTTATTTACTTGAAAGAATTACACAGAGAGCAAAGGAGAGGCAGAGAGAGAGAGAGAGAGAGAAAGGTCTTCCATCAGCTGGTTCACTCCCCAGTTGGCCACAATGGCCGGAGCCGCGCTGATCTGAAGCCAGGAGCCAGGAGCTTCTTCCAGGTCTCCCACGTGGGTGCAGGGGCCAAGCACTTGGGCCATCTTCCTCTGCTTTCCCAGGCCATAGCAGTGAGCTGGATCGGAAGTGGAGCAGCCGGGACGAGAACCGGAGCCCATATGGGATGTCGGCACTTCAGGCCAGGGCGTTAATCCGCTACGCCAAAGCGTCGGCCCCTAGCCTATAATTTTAATATCTAACAAAAATTAAATCGTTTTATCAGAGGGCGGCTACATTTCCCTCACATGTTTAGTCTAGCATTAGCAATACCAGGTTACTTTACGCCTATTAATATTTTATTGAATAATATAAGTTATTTTGAATAGCTACCATATTTTCACGTTAACGTCAGGAAACATTTTAGTACCTACTACAGGTTTTTTTGTCATCTCCCAGCTCCTGGTTCTGCGGCCAGCGCGCTCCTGCGCCTGCGCACTCCCAGTCCCCAGGGCGCCAGGTGGGCAGTCCTTGCGCGGCCATTTTACGCCTCTGGACTACATTTCCCAAAGGCCACTGAGGCCAGGCCAATTTAGCTTGGACTACATTTCCCAGAGGCCACCGGGGACAACCAGGACCCCGGATCCCACTGCCAGTTTTTCGTTACCGTAGCCCAGCCAGCAGCGAGCTTAGGCTAAGGCAGTGCGTGTTCTCTGGGGAAGGGCTTTGCAGACTCCGACCAACCCCACGGGGTAACCAGGGCTTGAGTGAAGACGACAACAATAATGGGAGGAACTGGGGGACCTCTGCGGACGTGCGCCGGCGCGGGACCCGGACCCTAACAGGCGGCGAGCGCGAGGGCAGGGAGGCTCCGTGGGCTCTGGCGGGGTCTCAGGCGCGGGGGTCGTTGCGTGCGCTCGTGCGCGTGCCCGCGAGGACTGGGTGCCCCTGAGTCCGTTAGCTGTGGAGGTGCCGCCGTGACCTAGGCCTCGGGCTCGGCTTCCAGCCGCCGCGCGGGTCCGCACCGGGCAGTGGGCCCGCGCCGGGGCGGTTACCAAGCCTTCCGGTGATGTTCTCCCGCAGGAGACGCAGAACTACGATTGCACGAGTTCTCTGTCGTGTGTGTGTGTGTTTATCCAGTCACTCCTGTATTTGAGAGAGCGAGGGAGACAGACAGGTCCCCCTTCCGCGGGCGCGCTCCCCAGATGCCCTCAACGGCCAGGTGTGGGCCAGGCCGGAGCCTGGAGCCCGCGCTGCCTCCCAGGGGTGCGCCAGCAGGGAGCCGGTCTGGGTGGCCTCGGGCTGCGGGATGCGGTGTCCCGGCACCGTGCTGACCGCTGCTGACCTTTCTGAGCCAGAGGGGTCTTCAAGGGACCTCCCCCGCGGAGACTGCGCCTCCTGCCAGGCTGGGAGCTTGGGGAAGCAGCGCCCGGCTCCCTTTCCCTCCGTTGGTTCTGGATGTGAGGCTGTGCTGGGAATGGCCGTGCGCACGATCAGAGCTCAAGACCGTGCAGCTGGCTAGGTCAGGGACGCTCACGTGATGGACTGGTGGGCGGTGAATAGGGTTAGTCCTGAGAAGGGGTACCCGTGTGAGCCCGAGATGTGCACAGTTACGGGCAGGGGTAGTCAAGAAGTGTTTAAGTTCTTTAGGAATCCCATCTAATATGAGATTTTTCTAAGATATTTTGCAAGGTTCTTGTGGGCAATATTTTGGTTATTTAGTGAAGGAGAACAGGGGTTTGGCAAGTTTGTGAGCATCTTTTCCGTAGGCAAGATTCCGTCCACTTTGCATTCATTCTCTTAGTCTATAACCACCACTTAGCCAGAGTTATGTCTTCCAGAGAAGACTCTTGTTAGTGAATGAGCCTAATTATATTGATAAAGTACAGTTAATGGATGTGCATATGAAATTTCTGAAGGCAGAGTTAATACAGACTTGTGAAAAAAATGAGTAACCTGAAGATAGAATAGTTATTTAGGGATGCATTCTCTCCCTCTTTCTTGCTAGCTTGTGACTAGGGTTCTGTTTTGTGTCTAGAATAGATTCACGCTAACCGCTTATGTTAGGGAAGCAAAAGACTCTTAATTCTTAGTTTAAAAAGGAGGCTGTGGACTTCATACCCTGCGCATGCGTGCTCCAGGAAGAGACGAGCGCGCCCTGAGCCTCCTGTAGTCTGAAAAAGACCCTCGAGGCTGGCGTGGCCCAGCAGGCCGGGCCACCACTTGCGATGCTGACGTCCTGTGTTGGAGTACCTGCTGCACCTGCAAAAGTAGCAGAAGATGGTCCGAGTGCTTGGGCCCCTGCCATCTGTATGGGAGACCCGGATGGATGGAATTCCTGGTTCCTGGCTTTGGTCTGGCTCAGACCTGGCTGTTGCCACCATTTGAAGAGTGAACCAATAGGTGGAAGATCTCTTTCTCTCTCTGCCTCTCCCTCTCCCTCTCTCTCTCCTTCTGACATTCTGCCTTTCAAATAAATAAATCATTGAAAAATTTTGTTATCTCTTAAGGATTATAGCAGTGTTATGTAAAAGCTGTTAGTGCAGGTAAAAGGACTTCCAAAGACCTGTCGTACAAATTACTTTCCCAGTGACAAGCTTTGATATTTCCAGCCATCATATCAGAGTGGGGCCTCTTTAGTGTGGGAGAAATTCAAGTGTCAATTCAAGTGTCAGTCTTTTCTGCTTTTTTTTAAGAATGATTTTTTAAAAAATTATTTATTTGAAAGGCAGAGTTAGAGAGAGGCAGAGAGAGAGAAAAAAAAAAGGTCTTCCATCCACTGGTTCACTCCCCAAATGGCTGCAATGGCTGGAGCGGAGCCGATCCAAAGCCAGGAGCTTCTTTGGGGTCTCTGTGGGTGCAGGGGCCCAAGCACTTGAGCCATCTTCCACTGCTTTCCCAGGCCATCGCAGAGAGCTGGATCGGAAGTGGAGCAGCTGGGACTCAAACTGGCACCTTATACAAGATGCTGGCACTGCAGGAGGCGACTTTACCCACTACACCACAGTGTCAGCCCTGTAGAATGATATTCTTAAGGCTGCTTTCTAAATTTTGTGCTTAAAATTATAATAAAGCATGCCAGAGAGATGTGTCCACAAAGAATAGAAACAACGTTCTTCTTTTGTAAAAATGAAATAAAGGGCATGTAATGTTCTTCATATAATAAATTCAATAATAACAGCTAGCTCATGTTATACAATTCTTCTATTAAGTGTTTTCTGTGGGTTTTCTTACTCTTCAAGAGAACCATATGTAGTGAGTGGTGTTCTTAACCCTGTATTAGTGATGAGAAAATCGAGCCTGATCGAGTTCTTCTATTTTCTCTACTTGTCCTGTCTTGGCTGACCTCACCCTCTCCTGGCACCATGAAAAAAGTTCTGGCTTGGGTGATATGGACTGTTTTTCAACATCCAGAGTGTGAGGGTGGAACGAGGAGAATCTGTCAAGGAGAGCCATGGAGCCCAGTGTCAGACGTAGATCAGCCTCCTCCAGGGGGGCCTGGCCGGAACCCTGCAGGCGTCAGCCTCCTCCAGAGGGGCCTGGCCGGAACCCTGCAGGCGTTTGTGATTCTGCCTCCAGGAAGAGGTCTGCCCTGCGTGCAGCTGTGAGCAGCTGGGTTCCGTGGGCTTCGACCCCCCCACTCTTC